TCTGGGTACCATCAGATAGAGGTGGAGCCCGCGGATCAACACAAGACTGCTTTCTGGACCAGGTGTGGCCATTACGAGTTTATGGTAATGCCCTTCGGATTGACCAATGCACCTGCTACATTCCAACGGTCAATAAACGAGTTATTTCGTCAATGGTTGGACCAGTTCGTAATTGTCTATCTGGATGACATTCTCGTATATAGTAAAACATTAGAAGAACACGAGAAGCATCTTCGTCTGGTTTTGAGTAAGTTGCGAGAAGGCAACTTCAAAATCAACCCGAAGAAGTCTGAGTTCGCTAAGTCTGAAGTTTTATACTTAGGACATATAGTGAACCAAGATAGCCTCAGGCCTGAAGAAAAGAAAATATCAGCAATTAGAGACTGGCCACAAACTAAGTCTGTAACTGAGTTACGATCTTCTCTTGGCTTGGCAAGCTACTATAGGAAGTTTGTCAGGAACTTCTCATTGATCGCTGCACCAATGAGAAGATTGTTAAAGAAAGGAACGATCTGGTTGTGGGACAAGGATTGTGAGTCCTCGTTCAAAAAGGTAAAGTACGCTCTGACTCACAACCCTGTTCTGAAAATTGCTGATCCATCTCTTCCCTTTATTATCACCACTAATGCAAGTCAGTATGGGATTGGCGCAGTTCTTCAACAGAACGACGACAATGGCTACAGACCGATTGAGTTTATGTCTGCACAATTGCCATCTGAAAAGGTTGCCAATTCTACCTACGAAAGGGAATTGTATGCGTTAGTCTATGCCTTAGACACCTGGAAACACTATCTATTAGGGAGACACTTCACTGTGTACTCAGACCACTCTATCCTGAAGTGGATAAAGACACAGCCTAGGCTCTCTAATAAGCTAGTACGATGGTCTGCATTCATTGATACTTTTGATTTTGAGTTAAACACTATCAAAGGTAAGTCTAACGTGGTTGCAGATGCATTGTCTAGRAGATGTGATTTCTTTGGTGCCATTGTCTCTTACCTAGACGTTGGGAATGATCTGAAAGATAAAATTCGCCAAGGATATGTTAATGACCCAATATGAAAACCTATCATGGATGTCCTTGCGAAAGATCCAAGTCTGCTTCCCAACTATAAGATAACTGATGGTTTGCTTTTCTTGCTAGACCAAACTGAACAACGATTGTGTATTCCTCACCACGAAGAAATCAAAAGTCTAATTATTGGGGAATGTCACGACGCCGAAAGTCATTTTGGTTTCAAGAAAACTTACGCTGAAGTTAGAGAACGCTTTGAATGGAAGGGATTGAAAGAGGATGTACTAACTTATGTTCGTACTTGTCTTGTGTGTCAGAGAAACAAACCCTCACATGAGAATCCACTTGGTCTTCTCAGACCGTTACCAATTCCAAGCGAACCAGGTGGGTCTATTTCCATGGATTTCATGAGTCTCACCAAAAGTCGGAATGGCAATAGTCAAGTGATGGTGATCGTGGATCGTTTCTCTAAATATGCTATGTTCATTCCCTTACCCGAAAAAGCCAGAACGGAACTTGTGATCCAAAAGTTTCAGATGTGATGGGTGACTGAATATGGTTTCCCTTTATCCATTGTATCTGATAGAGATACCCGATTCACAAGTATGCCATGGCAAAAGCTGATGGAAGCATACGGTACACGTCTAACCATGTCATCAGGTAGACACCCTGAAACGAATGGGCAGAGTGAACAAATGAACCGTTTGTGCCAACAGCTTCTGCGCATGTATGTAAGACCCGATAAAATAGATTGGGATGAGAACTTACCTAAGATAGCAAGTGCATATAATAGTAGTGTTCATACCTCTACAGGACGAACACCTAACGCACTGCATAAAGGGTGGAAACCTAAGCGTCCCATTGATGTATTGACGAGGGACCAGTTCTTTAGGTTACCTCCAGGGACCCGCGAATACGCAGTATTGTTTCAAGAAGACATTAAAAAGGTAAAGGAGAACTTGAAGAAAGCTCAGGACCGAATGATCGAACAAGCTAATAAGCATCGACGACCATCAACGTTCAGAGAAGGTGATTTGGTCTGGGTCAAGTCTAAAGAGTTTTCACTAGAAAAAAATGTCTCTCAGAAACTCCTGCCTGTCTATTTTGGACCCTGGGAAGTTCTTAAAGTAATTGCAGATGCAGAGGGACCGTCTTATAGAATTGATATACCCCCTCATCTCAAAACCTATTCTGTCTTTCATGCGTCTAAGTTGCTACCTTATGTAGAAGGAGATGAATTCCCTCATAGACCATCTATGATACCGCCAGATATGGATGGTGGATATGAAGTGGACCGAATTATAGAACAAGGATTCTTCTCTACAGGTGCACGAGGATGACCCCAGAAGCAATTCAAGGTTCATTTTAAAAGTCAGAAACCATCTGAGGACAGATGGTTTAGTAAAAGAGAACTCCTTGAATCTGCTCCTGATATCGTCTCTGCTTATGAACGTGGGTTGAAGTCTTAAATGTTTCTGCGATCGCGATGGAACTCGAAATATGGGTCGGCAGGAATGCAGTAACCCTGTTCAGCAGCAGACCGGGGCTCAGAACGTTGCCCCCGGTAAAGCACAGACTGTGCTGGGCTATGTGACCGAGACATGCCCAGCCTGAGTCTGTCGAGGAGGCTGTGTGACCGAACGCAGCACAAAGGAAATTCAACAGTCAAAGACAACTGTAGAGTCAAAGGTACCGCGCCCAGGCCTATGGTCAGATACATTCACTTGTTGTGTGCAGGTACCCAGRCARCATTCAGGGCAGGAGGAATACAGTTTCTGGCCAATCTGGGCCCTCCTTCAGATTGAGATCTGGACGGTGCAGGACTTCAGCACCCGGGGTCCAGACCCCGCATCCACGCTATTTAAGA